TTCTCATTCTCAAGAGCTGTCCTCATACCAGACCACACTCCCACCCCACCATCCCAGTGACCATCCTCTCTCTCATAAACCCACCTATGCCTGCCTGTCTCTAGGGTCAGAACATGTTCTGGGACATGGCGGTAGTCCTGAAAGCAACGCAGGAGGTGCCTGCTGCTTCAACCCTTGGCAGCTACTCGTTACCAGGGAGTCTGGCCAAGAGAGAGATACTGGAGACTCATGGGAACATGACCTCCTCAGGTAAGTTCAGCCCCTGATTCAGAATGCTGAAAGATGCCTACACGTTTGTCATGGGGAATGGCTTACTTTGCATATAGTCTCAAGACACCAGACCAGCACAGGTGAATTTCACATTCACTCTTAATCACATTTATTGTTCAGCAGGTTTCATGTCTGATCACACATGTGGGTATGTGTCTTCTTCATATACTTTGTGTTTAGCATCGGTTGGTGAGCCAGCAGGAGAAGCTAGTTAAGGTAGGAAGGCTCAACTTTTGTGGTGATTTTGAGAAAATGCCCTGGAGGTGTTGTTTTCCTCGATTTTTGTGCAAATTCTAGAAGATTTTGAGCAGTTGTGTCAGCTGTAATGATGCTCAAAACTAGGTCCCCCTGGAGGGTACTGCGGCTTATCACCTGATTCTCTAAGCTGGGACCGGGGAGGGAAGTGTGTTCTGTGTCTAACCAGCAGTGGCAGGAGTGTGCGGATGAGAGTGCCGCGTAACTGGGTGAGGAATGTGGCAGGGAGGAGTGGGAGAAGGGAGACAAGTAAGAAGACGTAGGTGACAAAGAATAGAGCACAAACAAGAGGAGTGTACCGAGCAAAGAGAAAGCAGAAGTGACATGAAACTATACGAGGAAAAGAATCAGAATATCTCACATAAAAATTTTAAAAAACCCACCGGGAGAGGAGAGCGCTACAAGAGGCAGTAGGGGAAGGAGGGAGAGGAAAAAGGTGAGAAGATATAAGAGCAGTTAAACTATAGAAAGAAAGATGGAGCAGACTACAAAGGAAAATAAAGACGACAGCACAGTAGAAGTAGAAATGACCAGAAAAAGATGAACATTTCAGACTTTTTTATTGTCACATGCGGGGCTCTACTGTGTCTTATACTCGGGCCTTTCCTTTGTGCGACACTGCCCTTACTATTACCTGAACGATTGTGACGGAATTTCATATTACCATGGTCTTAACCAGGCAACCAACCTGGGCTGTTTCCCTGCGCCC